ATTCTATTCTATTCTATTCTATTCTATTCTATTCTATTCTATTCTATTCTATTCTATTCTATTCTATATATAAAAGTCATGCATAAAACCTCCTGAAACCTGCATCCTGTTGTTGAGGACAGTGGTTTTAGATTGGTTGTCCTTATTTAGGGGGACTAGRTTTTAAATTTTACTTTTAATTTTAAATAACTATATTTTTATATTTTAGCTCATACTTGGTCAAAAACCATTTTCTTTATGTTTATGAGACTCTGCTAATCCTAAATAGATGGAGAAAGTTAAAAACGCACATAAATTAAAAGCTTGAAAACTGTCTGGCCAAAAGGGGGCTACCACTTTTTTGGGAATGCCTCAGCCCCCTCTGGCCCTCCCTTAGTGGTGCCCCTGGAAATCCGAACTGTATGACAGAACATCTCTTCATAAATTTCAAATGTTTGCATTTAAGATGAATTTTAATAATGCTCAGGCTCCTGTTAGAGGAATATGTTTCTGCAGGTGTGAGGTTATAAAAATGGGATTAGTCTGGGTTGTGACTTGAGATAAACGATGCAGACTGTTTTAATAAAAGCTGTTTCTTCCTGTCCACAGCCCCACCTTCATTTACATCAACGCCACCGCAGTATGTGGAGGCAAAGGAAGGGGGAAGCACTCTGCTCAGCTGCTCTGCCCAGGGAAATCCAAAACCAATGATCAGCTGGCTGAGAGAGGGGGAGGAGCTCGCAACCAACGCAAAATATTCAGTAAGAAAATACAGTTGGGGGGGGGGGACAAATCAGACAAAAGATTTACGGTTGTACACAAAAATAGAGAATGGATGGCGTCATCCACTGAGCCCATCTGTACAGAAAGTATGTTCTGCTCTGGATCTCATCCGGGCCAAAATCAATTCATTCTGTTGTTTTGTAGGAGGAGAATAGATTTTTTTTAATGGTTAATTGTTTGGTCTAAAAGTTGAATTCAGTTCCAAAACCATCAGCAGCAATTCACAGAAAGTGTTTTGTTTTGTCTCACGGGGCCTGCAATTTCATTTTTACTCATTTTTGTGGCACAAGAAGTTGCAAACATTGGTTTAAAACGACTCAAACATGAGCTCAGCTCAGGAAGCTCGTTCCTGCAGGATCAGTTTGCCAATTTTAAGAAAAGCTTCTGGCAGCGCGCCTCACATTTCTGAACCTCCTTTGTTGTCGAGCGGGGCCTGATTTTTAATGCCTGTGAACACACAMAAAAAAATGTCTGATGTCATGACAAGATATTTCTGGCACAGCTTCACACTGTGGTTTGAAAGCAGCAAAATGTCTCAGTTCCACGCGGCGGCATCAATAAACATCAGGTTTTTTGTGATGCTGATGCTTCAAGTCAAAAGATTTCTAACATCTGCATGACTCAAAGCACAAACGTGTGATGATGCTTCTTAAATAAAAAGGTGCAAATTTCACTTTTTCTGCGGTGAAAAGTCTCTCACTCTTTGCTTGAAGGCACCTAAATGTCGAGAAGTAAGGATGACCAAAAAAACGATTAACTTAAAGCAGCCTTTTGTTGCCTGAGGTGAGAGGCAATCATGTTTTTAATTGTTTTGTTTATTTGTCTGTTAGTAAAATACGTCATATACAGTATCATGTAAACCAGTGGGTGGATTTGAATAAAACTTGCAGAAAGTAATTGGATCTCCGTCTGTTAAATAACTTTTAGTCAACCTAACTGAAGATGGCCAGACAACATTATCTGCTGCTCTCTCAAATGATCATACAATCGGGATGGATAATACTGAGATTCAGAGGTAATATAACAGAAAAAAAGTGCCTAGAGCGAATTCCGACACATCTGGCTTCAGATCGTGTTTTTACTGGTGTCTTGTAGCTTAGCTTGCTACATCTATTGTGTGTATTTTAGCACTTAAGCCACTGCTTCTATAGTTTGAAGAAACTTTGTGTACGTAGTAAAAAGAATCACCACATGGATGACTGACTGCAGTAGAAGGCTATATGAGGCTAGCATGCTACTGGCAGAGCTATGAGTAAAGTAAAAACAACATACTGTACCTGTTTATAGACAGAGAATGCAGGAATGGGATTCAGGTGGTCCTGTGTTGGTCTTTTACCGCCAATAAAATGTTTGGAACGGACCTTAAGTCCATGGTTGCATTTTTTTCCGGGTCAAACTCGGCTTGTCCCATCTCTCAAATCCAGCTGTTAGCTAGCATTTTAGCTTGGGAAAAGTGATCAAACAAAATACTCCTTCCATGTGGGGGTAATGTCTGTATCCTGAGTCACTGTTACGAGTACCACAGCACAGTGTGTTGTGGTCCTCCCAGTGAAATTTGACACAATTTTCCTGGATTTCTTTAAGTTTATACACAGCTAATCTGCTCACTGTGTGTGAGTTTGTACACACACAGGCATCAAGCGGTCACGTGATTATTATTCTACAAATAGCCTGAGTGAACACATACATTGAACCTATATAGCTCTTTTATAGGACACCTAAATAAGTTTGGTGATGGTAAGCTACATTGTAGCCACAGCTACCCTGAGTTACTCTGACATCTGTTATTAAAACTGACTGCCATGCACTGGCACCACCAGACCCTCTGAACRCCACCTGTAGGCAAGGCARGTGAAGTGTCTTGCCCAAGGACACAACGATTGAGACGTATGGAATGGGGAATCCACATTTAATTTACAGCGTTGAAATCTGGGGTAAAGCTTGCAAAACAATTACAAATCCGATTTTTGTTTYACAAAAAAGAGCCGTAAGAATTATCGTGAGAAAAGATTACAACCATCCATCTAACACATTATTTTGTAAACTGAAAATTTTGAAATTCTATGATTTGGTTGACTGATATTTTATTGTTTATGTACAAGGCTCATAGAAATGTATTACCTTCCAACATTCAGGCAAACTTTGTTAAGAGAGACAGTTGTTTTTACCTAAAGGGGATGTAAATGTTTGCGAAGCCATATATTCGTACTTGTTTCAGAGAAAGATGCACTTTAATCCAGGGTATAGTTTAATCCAGGGTATAGTTTAATCCAGGGTATAGTTTAATCCAGGGTATAGGATCATGGAACAGTCTGGAAGATGATCTTAAAAATGCCAGATCTATGTACCGGTATATATTTAAGAAACAGATAAAAGCTAGTTTTTTGAAGATATATGAAAAGTAAAATGTGAAGCTATTTGATTTGTTGTTTGAGTTGATGTTTTTATGTTGTTGTTTTTATTGTTTTTTAATTATTTTTTAATTTTTTATGTTATTTAGTATTGTTTTCTAAATTATGTTTCATTTGAATATATTCTGGGTCGAAAAGGGGTAGACATAATAAGATTTATTCTTCTGCTACCTTTCATTTTATTTTGATTTGTATATTTTTTGGTTTATTTTTTATTATTGTATGTAGTATTTTTAAATGAAATGAATAATTTTTTGAATTGAATTGAATTGAATTGAACCCGCAGCCCTCCAGTTCCAGGTTGACTCACCTAACACTCTGCCACGGCTGCCATAATTAAGTGGTGGTCACCATTTCCCAGTTTTGGTAGCTACAAACCATTCCTAACACGCTCACTGAGCCCTAACTCAAGAGCTCACAACATGAGATTGTGCATTTACAAGGTTTGACCAACGTTGTTATTTCTCAGGAAAAGATGATTTTTAGCTACGTACTCAATGCAGGTTTTACTCATCTTCTTGCGCAATTCAGATTTTTTTGCTCAGATCTGATTTTTTTTAAATCGTTTAGTTTAAATGCAACATCCATTAGACTCCAGTGTGAACAGCCCACAGCCTCGAAGTGACTCGCATGTGAAGAAGACATGACGTCACGCAGTACAAGTAAATGTGGAAGCTACACATGTCTGCATGTGTGGATCTATTCTGAGGTTGCTGTGCAATCTGGATGAYTAAATTATTATCTACCATGTTTGTTTCATCCAATCTTTATATTTGATCTTGCCTTTCCCTGCCTGCTCAGGTGCAACATTGCAAACTCAAAAATCCATCCTATTATGTTAGCATCGATACGATTCCAACACGGTTCACCACCGTTAGCGTCACATGTTGGTGTACAATTCTCAGTCAAACAGGACTTGATGAGTCTAGAACAGGGGTGGGCAATCCTGGTCCTGGAGGGCCACAGCCCTGCATGTTTTACTTGTTTCTCTGCTCCAACACACCTGATTTGAATGAATACATGATTATCAGGCTTCTGCCGTACGGAGGACCAAAATTGACATAATTAGAAATAAAAGCAGAATTATATAAATGAACTATTAAATAAATACACTTAAAGGCACCAATTAGAGAACTTTATCTCCTGTTTTATATTTTAATTGACTTTCATWTTTATTTTTCCAGGTTAGTTTCAATAAATTAGTCTATATATTTTAACACATAATTTAAATTTTACTGTTTTATTTACATATGTATTAATTGTTTTTCCTTTACTTGTACATGCATTTGTGTGTCTTAAATGTTTATACTTAATTATGTTTACATTTTTCCCAATAAGTCTTTTTATTTCAATGTGTTACATGCTTGTGGTGCCTAAATTTAGCTTAAAGTTTAAAGTTTAGTTTAAAACAAAGGCAAAGAGGATTACCTCTGCCTTTATTTTAAAAATGTATATAAAAATAATTAAATTTAAGCATTTAAGAGACACAAATGCATGTACAAAAAAGGAAAAACTATATAAAAATACATTTAAAAAATGTAAATTWAATTATGTGTTTAAAATATACAATTTATTGGAACTAAGCTGGAAAAATAAATATGAAGGTAAATTAAATTATAAAACTTGAGGTAAAGTTATTTTTTAATTCATTTGGTGCATTTTAAACATATTTATTTATTTAGTGGTTCATTTATATGTTTCTGCTTGTATTTCTAATTATGTCAGTGTCGGTCCTCCATACGGCAGAACTTGGAAGAGGTAATTCAGTGACTGAATCAGGTGTGTTGGAGCAGGGAAACATGTAAAACATGCAGGACTGTGGCCCTCGAGGACCAGGACTGCCCACCCCTGGTCTAGAACATTTTAAAAAATCTGATGATGGTATTGATTAGTATCTGGATCAATACCCCTACCTCATTTATGTTAAAGTCAGATGAAATGCTATTTGACTGAGGTTGCTTTGAAAAATATCAATATCCAGTTTAGTACCACACGTAAAATAACTGGGTTGGATTAAAAAAAATGGGATGTGTCACGTTCAGACTGTCATAAAAAGATCAGATATGGGTCAAAAACTCAGATTTAGGTCACTTTTGCCTGCAGTGTAAAAGTAGCTTTAGTTTAARACTGGGGGATGAAAGAGGGCAAGTGGCAGGCCTTTAATTAGAGAAGGCTTCGTCCAACAAAAAGCTTAGAGGAACATCTTTCAGTCCATGACTCGCTACTGTTTGTGGGACTTATTTAAAAAGCAGTTGTCTTCTTTCTTCTCTACATGCTTGCACATTCTCATATGTCACCGATATTGCAGTCTGCTGCAGGCGCTATCAAGTTTTCACAGCTCCCCGTGTGATTTACTGTAGAGGAAGTGACAGGAGCATACAGCGTCTGTTACAGGCCTCTTTTCCTTTTTCTCTTTCCCTTCGCTTCTCTGCGCCACCGTCCCTCCTCCCAGTTGCCTCTTTTTTAGTTAAGTGATTAGAAAATATTCAGATTCATAATTAATCGGCGCTTTCTGATTACCCCAGCTTTCTTCAGCTGCTTTCTTCTTCTCTGAGTAACTCCCCTTAAATTTGCTTGAGCTCTTTCTAGTGTAAATTACTGCGAGTGAGCGTGAGGGTATATTTGCGCACCCAGATCCACAGAGACRTCGTGGAGAAAAGGAGGAATGTGACAAATGGGGTTAGAGTTGAGCCAGAACCCTGCTCATCCTGCTGTTTTTCTTTACCTCGCTTCTTTACTTTTTAAAAAATATGCATGGGGGCGGAGAAGACTTGACAAAAAGAATCTGATCTGACTCTGAGAGAAGTTTAAAGTCCATAAACAATAATTCTCATCCACAATAAAAATGTTTCATGATTCAYGCATTCATTATTATATCATATTCTGACTTTATTTTATGATTTTTCTTATGTTAAAATAGTCCAAATTATTTCTGATTGTTTGCTCCGGCTATTATTACAAAAAAAAAATCACTTTTTGTTTCAGCACCTCATTTTCACAGCTCTGTTTTCACCGACACGATTGCTCAGACGACAGAGACTTTAATTAATTTGGAGGCCTGACATGAGTCGGAGCGGAGCTTTTAAAAGTCACTCAGACATGAACGAGGCTGAACAAGAAGAATAATCGCACCTCATCAATCAGGCAGCGTTCCTTATTAAAATGAACCTAATTTGAATCTGTTTTAACTATTTTAATTGTTGCACGTGGCTTTTGGGGCTCCGAGTGATTTTTCGCAACAAGCCWCTGATTAGTTTACACTCGCAGCGCCCAGCGTGTCGCATGTCCTGCTTGTTTATCGCAGTGAAACACCCAAGTGTTATCTTGTGATAAATAGATGAGGATGCAGTTTGCCAACAGACTTGCAGAAGTTAAAAGCTGCTTTGGTTTCTCTAACAGTAGCGTCTCTTGGCTCCTAACCGTTTGAGAGACAGATGAATAGACGTAAATCGTGCAGGCGGAGCAGATTCCCCTCTCAGCTGCATGAATGGACAGACTACAGCTGTGTGTGACTTGAATGGACAGAGCTGCTCGCAACCTGTTGCATCATTCATGAGGCTGTTCCAGTTGGGTTTGTTTGATGTGTTTCTTCATCTCATCGGCGCCTCATAACATGAGCACTTCCAAGGTTACAAAGTGCAGAAATCAGTTAAAGAATAACATTCACGGCTTCGTGGTCTTATCCTGTTATTTTAGTTATTTATTTATTTTTTTGAGTTTGTTCTCATCACACATTTGCCAGCTTTGAAAGTTAGAATTAGTCTTTATACAGCTTTGTACTTTTATGTGCAATATTTAAAGGCGTAGTTCAGGCTTTTTGAAGTAGAGCTCCTGTAGGAAGGTTATGACTAGTAAATATCTTACWTGTTGTAGATAGCTTCTAGAACACCCTCACACCCTCACTTTGGAAAACAGATTGGCTTAAAACTCAAATAGTTCATGCATGTCAATCCCATCAGACTTTTACCTGTATCTTGAACCTCTGAAAACTGTAATTTTCACAAAAAATAAATAAATCCATAGTATGCATGGGTGGGGGCAGACAAACAGATTGTCGGCCACGTGGCGGAGATAACAGCTTCTGCAGAGCAGAGGAGCAGGGAAAAGAGGACAGGGAGGTGGAGAACATATGTCTATACAGTTTGCCAGATTTGAGACAAATAAATTTGAAGCAAAATTTTTGAAAAAAAACAAAAAAAAAAACAACTAAGATTGGCCTATTTGTCTGTATACATGCAGAATGGGGG